ATGGACAGGATGGACAGGGATGGACAGGATGGACAGGGATGGACAGGATGGACAGGGATGGACAGGATGGACAGGGATGGACAGGATGGACAGGGATGGACAGGATGGACAGGGTACCTGTCCTACCTGTCCCTACCTGTCCTACCACAGGATGGACAGGGATGGACAGGATGGACAGGGATGGACAGGATGGACAGGGATGGACAGGATGGACAGGATGGACTTCATGACTGAAAGTCACTTGCCGTCTCTAAGAACGCGGCGAAGCGGGTCTGGTTTGCTGTTCGTGTGAACTCTGGAATTTCTGAAACTGTTGAAGGTATTTGGTAAGGGGTTAAATTAGGTGGTACGAAATGATTAATGCAATAATTATTTTCGGTCCTTCTCAGGGCCAACGAAGCCAAGGCTTTCCAGGTTATTGCTGACCGTTCAAATGAGAAATGGATATCATCGTACCCAGGCAATGAATAACGAAAAGCTCAAAAGAATCAAGATGCGTCACACATTGCCACGCCATGCTGTGGATTGTCGATTGTGTGCGCCACGCCATAGACCGCCACGCGTTTGAGTTAACTTGCGCCGTCACGCCCGAACTCAAGCCGTCTCAAACAGGTTTTTAAACGCTTGCAATGTGCAAGCACTGAAAGAAACGAGAGCGTAGGTGAATAATAAGTGAATGAAAATAAATATAACCATAGTTTAACAGGAAAATCTGCCAAAAGATACTTCACGTCTTAAGCCACATAGAATCTTCACATCTTAATAAATAGAATAAAGCTGTAGTCTTATCAGTACCCCTTTGCCTATTTACCGTTTCGAGTTTATTTTACATCTGATTGAATTGAATGCATCGACAATCTAACTTACGTTGATGTTAGCAGAAACGATGACAGAACACCTTATACGTAGAGCCTTTTGTGAGGACGTTAGGACTACTGCCAAATCAAGAATCTTTCTGGGCAACTTGCATGGAAACTTGGCTTTTCTCATCATTGACATTGCCATCAGTCAAATTAAAAATCTTCGAAATGAGAACTCACCTTGAGGAAGGAGCTGAGCCAGAAGTCCAGATTTGGGGGGGGGGGGGGGGGGGGGGGGGGGGGGTTAGGGGTCGTAACCCCCCCTCCTTGGAGTCAATTTTACAGGTTTGACTCTCATAAGTTTTTAATTTGGCCACAAATACAGGGTGGGTAATCCGTGTTTCATATGGCAACCCCCCCCCCCATTCGCATTTCCTGGGCACGCTACTGGGCACTAATGTTAATGCACATCGGCTAATCGAATAATCCCAAACTTCCTTTTTGGTCAAACCATCAAGTTTTGCCTGGCTAACACCGGTATCGGCCACCGGTGTTGCACTATCGGCACCATCGGCCATTGGCCTATGGGAACCGTGCCGGTGCCGGTGCCCAAAGGACAGGCGAAGCGAAAAAAAAAATTACGTGTTCACGCCCTCCTCTCTCACTGAAAGCTACTCTCTCCCAGACAAAAACATCGATCGGATTATGTATTATAGGAACCGGCGGAGGAAGGTAGCGGTAAAGAACGGGAAATCATTGCATCTCCTTTTACGCTTAATGTTTTTGCAAGGGATGTGTCATTAAATACTTTCAACTGCAGCGATGGGTGGCAAGCTAACCACTGACAGCCTCATAGAGAGACAGACAGGCTGATCAGGACAAAAAATAGTCTTTATAGTTTCACAATTGACACCGGCCCGGCCGATGGCCCCGAGGAAAAAATCGGCCATCGGCCCACCGGCCAGATGTGGCCACCGGTTTTACCTGATAAAAACATGCGCCGAAAAAAATGTTGAAGCGGGTTATCATGCTAACATGTTTCATTCGTTATCGAGAATTTAAGCCTTGCGAATCCTGTCGGTTCCTTGATGTGAGGAGAGAGGAAAACTTTTACATTCTTAAGAGAGTCATCCATGGCAGAGGTTAGTCGAGAACAGCAAAAAGTCTTACTTTGTCCCACTGGACAGGTGGCCTGGCTTCGATGGCGCAGTGAGCCGAATAGGCCTTAAAGCCGTTCTTGATGATGATGGCGGTCGCCTTTTGTTTGAGGGCAACTCTGCGCGGGATCGGGACAGCGCGCAAGTGGTAGGTCAGGATGTCACCCTTGTTCTCGACCCAGGCACCCTCCCTGCAGCACGCGTCCTGCAGCTCCCGGCACATGTTCCTCATCTTCTCCTGGTACTCTTCGGGAATCGGATGGATGAACTTGCTCCCGTCTGGGTGGAGGATCTCCAGGCCGTGATTCCCGGCGTAGGTGATTCCATCGATCCCGACCATCTTCCGCACGTCTTCCAGGCTTCTCCCCGATACGATGGCGATGGCGACGTCGCTGCTGTTGCTCAGCCGGACGAGGACGTTCTTCATCTCCGCAGGCATGAAGGCCATGTCCGGCTTGGACGTAATGGGGGCCAGCGTTCCGTCGTAGTCCAAGAGAAGGGCTATCTTGGCCGTGTCTCCGATGTATTTGCTGAGGAATTCATCAAAGTCCTCCATCGTCATGGGGCCCAGGGTCTCCGTAGTCATCGGTTCGTTCTGTCCCTCGCCGAAGTCCAGGCTCCCCATCGCCTGCAACGATGGATCATCAGTCACTTCACGAATTGATGAGGAACGCACAATTCCCACCCCTAATGTGCTTGTCAACAAGGATCCACATATAAGATTGTTGCTAACTGAAAAATAAATTCCTCATCGGTCATCAACCTAGCGGCAAGTGAGAGAATTCGCTTCCATATCCCAAGTCAACTTTGTGCTAAACTCAGCGGAGTGCATGAGGAAGCGTAGAGAAAATACCTTCATCAACAACTGTCATAATTTGGAGAAAATGATCAATTTCCCGCTTGGAATTCGTTTTGAAGAAGCAGTTGGGAAGTGCTCGCAACTCCTCGGCTGGGAATGCAGTATTTATTGTAAGATTATTACTGATAATTGTTTTAAAAAATGTTCCACTTTTTTCTGCTGCATTTCAGCTAGCAAAATGTAACTCTTCTTTTTTGCTGAATTAAGCTGAAATGTTCTCTAGTCGCATATGTCCAACGTGTAGGTAAACACTCCTTTCACACACTGCTGTATTGCAGCCATTATCAGGCTTCTTGGGCAAGCCTCATTCCTTCCTCGATTTCCTTCCTCATTCCTTTGCGCTTTGGCTTCTGCCAGTGAATGGACAAAAACAAGGACGTTTAGTTAAGACTTCCCCACCGAACAGATATTTCCATTGCTAAACCATTTCGGCGTTGATAATCGTTATTGTTGACCGTTCAAATGAGAAATGGATATCATCGTACCCAGGCAATGAATAACGAAAAGCTCAAAAAGAATCAAGATGCGTCACACAGTGCCACGCCATGCAGTGGATTGTCGATTGTGTGCGCCACGCCATAGACCGCCACGCGTTTGAGTTAACCTGCGCCGTCATGCCCGAACTCAAGCCGGCTCAAACAGGTTTTTAAACGCTTGCAATGTGCAAGCACTGAAAGAAATGAGAGCGTAGTATTAAACTATAAGTGAATGAAAATAAATATAACCATCGTTTAGCAGGAAAATCTGCCACAAGATACTTCACATCTTAAGCCTTTAATAAATGGAATAATGCTGTAGACTTATCAGTAGCCCTCTGCCTATTTACCGTTTCGAGTTTATTTTACATCTGATTGAATTGAATGCATCGACAATCTAACTTGAGTTGATGATAGCAGAAACGTTGACAGAATTCCTTATACGTAGAGCCTTTTGTGAGGACGTTAGGACTACTGCCAAATCAAGAATCTTTCTGGGCAACTTGCATGGAAACTTGGCTTTTCTCATCATTGACATTGCCATCAGTCAAATTAAAAATCTTTGAAATGAGAACTCACCTTGAGGAAGGAGCTGAGCCAGAAGTCCAGATTCATGGTCTTCTCCCTCTTTTTCAGGTGATTCATGCGCATCTCCCGCTCGTCGTCGGGCATGGTGAGGGCCCGATGGAGGGTGTCCGCCACGCCGTCCAGTTCGTAGGGATTCACGAGCAGGGCCTCGTGCATCGTCTCCCCGGCTCCCGCGAAGGGAGACAGGATCAGCACGCCTGGCTTGTCCACCTGACAGGTCACGTATTCCTTCGCCACTAGGTTCATTCCGTCTCGAAGAGGGGTCACCAGCGCCACAGACGAATCCCTATCAAACAAAGCTAAAAATGATGAATTTGGACGAAAGTCCAAATTCATCATTTGTTCATCTTGTGGTGCCTAGTAGGAATGTGCCCCCTATGGTAGGACTGTAAAAGGGAAACTGGCAATAATCTATGGGACGATAAATTGGATTGAATTTGCCACTTGCACATAAACGATCTGATGCTAAGTCAGAATGCATTCAATAGCGCAAACAAGGAATTGGAGTGGAATATATTGGGCTTGAATATGTAGATGTGACAGGTTGCAGGTTTACTCTCATCATGAAATCCTTGTCGACGCTCTACAACTGGAGTTACTTCTAATGAGGCCTAATTGTCTCGGTTTCTCTATTACTGTTGCCAGCCTTACGAAGTTGAATAGTTCTTCTCAGCAACTTTAGCATTTCACTTTGGACATGACGGAGATGTGGGATGTCCAAATTAGAACAGACGATATAGGTTATGACATACTGTTTCCTTCCTGAAGTCTCTTACAAATTAGGACTTAACAGTACAGGCTATGAAGGGCAAGTACGTCTATGTAGTCTGGTCAGACAGTATGGGAAGTCTGTTCAACCTCTGACTCAGTCTGGGATCTACCGTCCTAAAATCTCTGTCGAGGAGACCCGAACCCCAATGTGAACAAATGGTCACACAATCACCAATACCACCTATCAAAGATCATCGTGCCACTGACCTGTAAAAGGTGGCGAGCTCATCCTGGGGAATGCACCCGTAGATGTACTGGATGGGCGACCAATTGGCCGTGGAGAAGCGTCCGTTGATGCGTCCGACCTCCAGGTCTATTTGTTCCTTCAGCTGCTGGTACTCCATCACGTCCGACAGGGAAGGGACGGCCACCTGCATCAACGCTCCCTTCTCCAAGTGCTCGGGATGTTTCTCCAGCAGTCTCTCGAACGATCGGATCCTGCCCGGCACCGAATCGTGATCAGACTGGATCGCGCGGAACGATCTCGGAAAGCATGAGTTTTTAAGAAATTCCACAGAGACAGACTTTGAAACAGCAAAATCTCATGTTCTAACTTCTTGCTGAGGTTAGGAATAGGAATTTTTTTTGTCCTTCTCTTCCCCTTTTATTTTGAATTTCGAGGATTGTGCTACTACTGTCTCTCCAAAAGAATGTCATTCCATTCCGACTATATGCAGCCCATGCATCTATTCTTCAGACAAGTGAGGGCAAGACGGGGTGAGGCAGCCTTGACCTCTCTTGGTTCACCCAATAAAATTTTCCTGCATTCGGCCCAAGAAGACAGCAAATCCAAAAACTCCAGCACGAGAGAAATTGAAAAGACAACCACCTGTTTACGAGTCCTTTGGTATAATCGAGTCGATCCACCCCGAGGATGATCTGCTGGGAGGACTGCAGCGCCCTGGGCGCCGCGTTGGCCATATCCTCGAACCGCTTGTACGGGATCCCGATCGGCAGAGCCGATTATAGGGTTAGCCGTGTTATAGGGTAGCATGTGTGAAAGAGAAATTCTGAAATTGAGAGGAACGAACGAGAAAAATAGATTAACGGATTCAATCCTATACGATTACACAAGGAGAATGAGATTCTTTGTCCTCGTGTAATCGCATCCGATTACACAAGGACAAAGATATGGAGAATATGTAATGCCAACAAAAATAAATTAATTAAATATCGGTAAAATTCTGGCAAGAAATCAAAACTCGGTCTTAATGTGTCTAGGATTAATTTTGCATAACGTTCACTTGATGCGATAACGTTACATTTCGTTACAGTATACAGACTGCTAATGAAAATCGCAGATGGATGAAGAACGAGTTTTTTTCTCTTTTCTTAAAGGGCCAGCTGCATTTCAAGCAGGATAAACCGGATATAAATTTGAACAGGAAAAAATATACTGGCGGTGCGGGCTTGAACCAGACCCGTGACAAAGCCTCGATGCTGCTTCGAATTAAGTTCCATGAGCTGAAAGTGTAGCAAGTGTAGCAAGTGTAGCAAGGAAAGTCTCTCGGGGAGATGGCACGCGTCCGGCTGTATTTATTATTATTATACTTTTTTTTGCGAATTGGCGAGACAGGAGTTGCCGGGAAATTCTCGAACAGAGCTGCTTTTCATGAACCGATGAGCGGTTCCATTCATAAAAATGCTTTTGCTTGCCAAAAGCCCTCATGCGTTGCCTACACGGATGTAATAACGGATAAAAATTGTTTGCTGCGAAATTCTGATGGAAACTTTAGAGACGAGAGTCCAGATGCAATTGGATGTGAATTGCTCGGGTGGAAAGGCAATTAGACGAAATATGCTAAGAAATTTTTTGTATAATTAAAAGTCACTCTGCTGCTTCACGAGAGTGTCCCCGTTTCGATTTTGTTTACATGCGAAACTTTTAAAACTCAGAAATTTGTTAGACATTTAGTATTTAAACAAGTGAAGAAAAATAAAAGAAAAGAAAAAGAGGAGGCTTGACGAGGTAAAATTTCTCAATGAACTGGCAAAGGAAAGAAGAAAAGTTCATCCCTGACCTGCCGGATGTTATTAGCAGCGAGCATGAGGTGATAATCGTGGATCCAGACCAAGGGGATGCGCTCCTCGCCCTCCTTCTCCTTCGCCTTCAGCATCTTCAGGGACTCCACCGCTTGGTCGGCGAACATCGCGTTCACCGTCGAGTAAGCCTGTCGGACGAGGACGGAGGCGTTTGCCGTTTGGACAGTGCTGGTTTCGACGTCGGTGAAATTTTTTTTAGCGTTACCCTGATGTTACGCTGATGCTGCTTTCGACGAAACGATCGAAAGTTTTTCAGGAAAAAAAAAAGTTATTGAGAGAATCTGCTGAGGGCTGATCCAAAATGAATGAAGTTGAAGATTTTAGTCTCGTCTTCTCCCGATGGAGAAGTGAAGAAATAAGACCATATTGCCAATACCATCACCATTAGGGTATTTGACAATATTTCAACGCTGATGACTTTCACAAGTGATATTTAAATGGAAAAAAATAAATAAAAAACTTAAGCTGTCTCTTCTTTCCTCCATCCAATATCTCCACGCTGCTATTTTCCGAGCAAATCGGACTCGCGCTTCGCGCAGCTGGCAGGCGAAATGTAATGTCACCGCCACCTTCTGGGGGTGACATTACATTTCGGTGACATTATGGCTTTGAGCCATCCAAGAAAATGACGTAATGGCACGACGTAAAAAAAATGTTAAGCCACCAGATTCGAAATTTCATGCATTGTCCTGAACTTCAGCAAAAAAAATTTCATAAGCATGCGAGAAGGCGAAATATTAAGCTCTCTCATGCTAAAATGAAGTCATGGGAGTATGTAAATTACACTAAAATAAATTATCTTTCGTTTTGCCTTTCGACGGTTTCTTTCTGATTGGTCGATTTCCATGCAATTTACATGAAATAAAAGATGCTTTCTCTGAAACTTAAGCATCAAGTTCCAGCTGCGAAACGGAAATGTTTAAGTCCTCAGTCTTATTTCAGTAAATAATTTAAGCGATTTTTATTTCAGTAAATAACTGAAGCGATTTTGTTTCAACAAATAATTTACGCAATGATTCGTTGAAATAAAATCAATTAAATTATTTATTGAATTTATTTCAACGAATAATTTACGTAATTTCGGCAATTAATGCAATCCTTTTCAGTAAGTCAATCGTCCTTAGCATCTGAAAATGATTTGGAGCAAAGTCCGTCGGGAGGTTCAATTCTCCCAAATGCCAGAGGCCAATTTACTTAATATATACTTAATTTACTTCATACAATTTAAAACCGGCAGCAAGTGCAAGTAGCAGCAAATAGCATGCAGCAAATAGCATGCAGCAAATAGCACGCAGCAAGTAGCATGCAGCAAATAGCATGCAGCAAATAGCATGCAGCAAATAGCATGCAGCAAATAGCATGCAGCAAATAGTTTTAACGATGCGACTACGTCCACTGCAATCGCTCGAATTCCAACTCCCACAGGGAATGATGGCGGATAGGAAAACCGCCGCGTCCGGTCAGAGACGAGGAGGAGACGAGGAGGAGACGAGGGGGAGACTGGGAGGAGACGAGGAGGAGGTGGGGAGGAGACGAGGAGGAGGTGGGGAGGAGACGGGGAGGCACCCGCAGAGCGGGCGACCGTCCGCCGAAACTCTTCGGTCGCTCGATCTTCCTCTGCACGCTCAGCCACTTAAATCCACTTTTTCATGTTTGTTCTAAATTTTAACAATCTGAGATTTCCAGACGACATTTGTCGGTCTTCGTTTCCTCGAGTTTTCCTGCGCAGAGAAAATTTTCTTCCCTCGTTCCTTTCTCGCTTGGGTCGATATGGGGCTCTTATTCGGGCTCAGAATAAATTATTAATAATATTTAGGCACGATAAATAAATGCATCATTTAAAAAAATACAGTGTTTTCCCAAATGCATTCCCTTCAATAGCCTTCCTGGAGTAAATAGTAGGTCTCTCGGTGAAAGAGCCGATGAGATTAGAGATTAGCGCCGAGATTAGTGCCGAGATTAGCGCCCGTTGAAAGAGGCATTGAGGGATCCCTTACCTCCCACTTGTCCACCTGAAAGACGGCCCGATCGGGCATGGAATGGAAGAGGGGCCAGAAGGTGGCATTGCAGCAGCCGTTGTAGTAGTCGTCGAACATCTGCTCCTCCACGTGGACCGGCACGACCTGCGATGGGGTCAGCGGGCTCATTTTCATTTCTTCCTTCGAGACTGGAGGGGGAGGGGGGGGGGGGGGGAAAGGGGGGGGGGCGGGTGGNTTTCTTCCTTCGAGACTGGAGGGGGAGGGGGGGGGGGGGAGAAAGGGGGCGGAGCTGATGGTTTGTTCTCGACTGTTGGGACGTAAATCAAGATGCTTCAAGGAAACTTGAGCTATTTTTTCTTGAATTAATTTAAGATGGAATAGATCGAGGATGGAGATAAATGCCGTCCTTACCGGGTCCACAAGGACGACGCGCAAAACGGACCTGGAGTCTCACCTGTTCCGACCTGAGGCCCGCCGAGGGGCCCTTGTCCCCCGGGGCCGATTCGGGGCGGGGACGGGCTGGTCCAGGTCGATCCCCGGCCAGCCCACCCAGAGCCCGCCGCACTGGATCACGACCGGGGCCACGGCTGTCACCAGTCCGCCGGCGCTGGAAGGGAGAAGCGAACTTGGAACTTTTCGGCTCGGGGTCGCGATCGATGACGGGCTCGAATCGATGGGACGCTGCCGCGCTTTCTCGGCTTTGCCGGGTTGTATCTCTCAAGGGGGGGAGGGGGGG